CCGGCCGCCCCTTCGACGTACCTGCGACAAGCCCAGGTGCACCGAAGCCGTCTCCGAGATGTACATGATCTTGCCATCCGGAGCCACAACGAATATGAAACCGTCCAACGTCTAGAGCAAAGGGTGGGGAGATAGAGGAGGGGAAGATATATATGCATGGATCCATGAACTACCTGTCCTCCAGGCTTATTTTGGCAGATGGGTATTCCGGTTCAGGCTGCGGTTATTCAAACAATTGGAAGGAAATCCTCTAAAGAACCTGGACAGGGATACAACCCACTTCTCGGAGGGGCCCAGCTCAAAAGGCTCTGGTAACACGAAGTGCCCAGGAAGCACCTAAGAACAGCGTCTCCAAAGCTCCTAGCTTCTCTGTGATGAATACGTCCGTACGAGAAATGCTGAGCACTTCTATCCCATTTTAAATGGCAGCGGGGCTTTTCACTCTTGCCTATTTGCTAAGGAGACTTTAAGCGAGCAAGGGCGATCTAAAACTCTCCGCAGTGTAAATAAAGGTCTGAAAGCGACGAGACTATTTACCAGGCACGTTTCAGCAGGTGTTAATGGGACTCACCGAGAGTGCAATAGGGCCCAATCTATTAAAGGCGGGTGCTAAAGGCCACACAACCCCACCAAAAAAAAATGTGATTACGGTAATCGCTAATACTCTTCAATCTTTGGGACAGCAGCGAGTTTTCCCGTGTCCTATCTGGTTTGTCTTTATGTTCATTTTCGTGACTATTCAGCCTTTCTGTCCAGGATAGCTTTCTCCAATCTGCCCTCACAGAGCATCTCCTCATTGCTACTGTACCCTGAGGTCCAGCACGTTGCCGGGACTTGTTAACTTGTTAATAAGTTTTGGGAAAGTCATCCTTCTGGTCCCTAGTTGCAGAAAGCACACTAGGATACTCTTTGAACACCTCGCTCCAGACCCGGTGGTGGGCAGTGATAGGGTAAAAGATGCACAGGGACCAAACCACAGTACTGATTAAAACCTTGACATTACGGCACGACAGTTTGTGTTTCTGGAGTTTCCCCCTTTTTTTGACTAAACACATGAACAGTTAAAAATTAGCCAAGGTGGCAATTAAAAATACAGAAAAGAGAACGATTTATTTAATCATTAATACCAAATGGCTGTCGTTTCCAGACCAGTACCTGCAAAAGATGGGATCCCAGTTCCCGTCCAACATTATCCAACGGGCTGGTTCGACTAGAATGGCCCCAGGCTTCTCCAAGTCCTGTTTATTTAAGACACAGAAAAAGTAACATGAGGAGATGAAAATTTGACTCGCATTGGCCTGCTGGGGAGGAACTTTCTTCTCAAATTTCTATCCGTATTCTCTTCATATATAATATGAAGTGAATATATATATAAAAATTCACTATATATGTAATATAATATCTATAATCTTTTTATATAATCTTTGGAAAACTAAACATGATTTCGTTGCACAGAAGAATCTCCCCTACGGATTGTTTTTTTTTTTTTAGGATCTAATTCCCGTAAGAGGAAAATGTCTATTTTGGCGTTACCAAGAGAGTTCACTTATCAGACCTATGTGAATTAGTGTGCCAGCTAACACGGCTGTTTAGCGCAGTCCTTGGCTACGAGGAGCTGCCTCCCGGAGCTTCAGGGAAAGCGCTTTTCCTCCAAAGTCACCGAAGGGTTCCTGGCCAACGCTGAGAGCTCCTTAAAATGAAACACAGGGGTGTGCTGGGGGAAGCCTTTGATGTCAGGAGAAGGATGCGGTTAACGTGGTACGAGAGAGAAACTCTGTGAAGGCTGCCAGGCCAGTGATGTGCATCACGACGAGTCATGAGGACACGGTGACCTTGGATCTTGCCAGCGCCTGAGCATTATCGGCCCGAGTTTCCTCCCCCGGCAGAAAGGCAAGCTTGGTCACAGCCAAGCAATCAGCCAGCAGGCTTTGGCTAGGGTGCATTTAAGGATGGGCTCATCTCCCTGCTCGCCAAAGATCGCGTCCCAGCTTGATCTGTGACCTCCCGTCTCTTCGGGGCCATCATCCCTCCACTTCGATGGAAGATTTGTATTTATTTATTTGGGGAGGGAGCGAGGAGGCACCAGATGCCGCTCCTCTGGCTCTTCGTGAGTCCCGCATTAAAACGCATCCCTTGTTAGTATATTCCCATTCAAGCCCACTAAAGGTAAACTGCCTTTCTCAAAACCTAGTGCAGTCTCACGACGGCGCCGAAGCGCCCCAGGCAGTGTATAAACGCACTCCTGGGTCGGACGGAATGGGCCATCTCCCCTCCTCCCCCATAAGCCCTGTTCTCCGCATTTTACGCCCTCCCCACCCTTTTGCCTCCCCCCTTCTCTCTCACAGCGGAACGAGTCTCTCCGCAGGAATGAACGACCTGCCTCCAAGCAGCCCGCGTGGACTCCACAAAATTAATCTCTCCGGACCTGTCTAATGTTTCAGACGCCGCTTGTTTTCTCGTATGCAAAGTGGAGAGGAATAAAAGCCAGATGGAAATTACTCTGCCGGAGTAAAACTATTTATGGGTAATGCCTTTTAACAATGCTATTGCTGAAATAATTTAAGCGGGGCAGTTAAAACCTTTTATGCTTACGCCATTAAACAAGGCTTAACCCGACACGCTCAGACTTCAAGATTAAGTAAAAATGAGGGAAAAATAAAAAATCCTGATTGATGGTTGGAGTGCAGATCGCCCGGAGGAGGAGCGAGCCGAGTCGGAGAGGTCTCCCTCCCGCAGCGTGGGCTCGGGGAAGGCAAGACCCCGTTTTCCGGGTATTTCGACGCAAAGAGGCGAGGTGGCGACGGCAAAGGCAGCATGGGCAGCCCTCGGTATTGACCGGCTTCACCTAGGTGTTTGCCAGTTTGAACAAGGCTAACGATTTCCTCCACTTGGTCAGGGCAGGGTGTCCCACGGCGGTCCTCGCCGCCCCACCCGCGAAGAGCAGAGCGATGCTCCTCTCACATCCCTGCCTTTCCCTCTCTTCTCTGCCCTTCCTTGTACACCTCCTCATGCAATCTTATATCTTCCCTGCTGCTCCCTTCTCTCCAAAGGCATATTCCTTCTCTCGTTAATTTGCCAGCCCTCCAAAGCCAGGCGCTTCTCATCTAGCAGCCCCACACGCGTGTACCCAGCGCCAAATGCCAGCCGGAAACAGGATCCTTTCCATTAAATCCTCCCTGCCCATTAACAGGCCCCTGGTGACTTTTTTTCCCGACTCCTCGGACTTCACCTTGCCCCTTGCGGTCCTCATCGCGCCGCCCTCCGAAGCGAGGCGGCCAGCGGAGGATGCGCGGGGCTCCGCAGGCAGCTCCTGAACCCCCCAGGAGAGCCTGCCATGCCCCCTCCCCACCGAAATCCTGGCAAATCTTGCACAGCTCCCAGGAAAAGAAAGGGAGAGAGAAGACAAAAAAAAAAAACCCTATATGCTTGGCTTTTCTTAAGCATCTTGGCGGTGTCTCTGCGGGGGAGCCAGGACAGCCCCGTCAGAGCAGAGGCAGCCAAGGGCCGCTCCTTACGAGATTCCCCCACCTGGAGGGAAATCTGAATGGGAGATTTCTATATTCAGGGCTAAACCTGAGTTCCTCGCCTATGATTTAAGTTGCTTATTAATCTAAGTTTACGGCTCTAATTATTCTTCCTCTAAAAGGGAAAATAACCCGACCTCTGTGGGTTAATAAATAGCTCATCGACATTACAGGTTAACTTCTTTCAGGAACGCAGTTTTTCACGGAGCACTGAACTCTTCTTTATGTTTCAGGTGGAAACCTCGCGCTGTTCGGCTGTCTGTTAATGTTTTATAACTAAACGTTTTCACTTGTCTACCTGAATCGGCTTTTCGAAATCCTAGCACAGGAGACAATTCTTCATATTTCACAGATGTTTCAGTACTTTCACGTCGGAGATTATTTTTTTTTCTTTGCCAAGTCCAGCCTTTCCCAAATCTACGGGCTCTCGTGATGCCCTTTAAACTCTTTTTTTTTTAATTTATAGGAGAAAAGCTCTCCATTAATATTCCTTTTTTTTTCTGTTCATTCACTTTAACATCCAATTTCCTTTTATCAAGGGGGCAAACTGTGATTTCTTGCACTTGACCTACCGCAGAAAATTCTGCAAATCCTTTGATTCTCTATTTAAAACAAAACAAGGAAATCAGCTCTCCCTTTTGCTTCAGGATTACGCTGGAAACAAGATCTAAAGATTCTCTTGTAATTTGGAGAGCCAACAGAATAATAGGTTTGGAATAGAAACAAGCAGCTTTGTGAAGGGAAGGATAACTAAATCGTTTTTAGGCAAAGGATTTTCCCAGCTAAAGTGGCCGAAGACAAAGCAAAACATAATCTATTTTGGAAGATTTCCAAGATATGCCACATTAACCTCAGTAGATAAAATTTGCTTTCTTCACTGAGTCCCCTCCCCCACCAAATTCTAGTTTATCATATTTACATAAGCAGTCTTAGAAGGGATGTATCTGTTATGGATCCAAGGAGCTGGTGAGCTCACATTTCATTTGAAAACAGAAGCGAAGCTTTACTGTTTCTTAATACTTGATGCATTGTAGAACCATTTCCATTTAAATACCCCCGACCCATGGATTACCTCAATGGACTGGCTGCATGGGCTTTGTAATTTCCTGAAAATGAGATTTCGATTTATAAAACAAGAAACCAATTAGTAACCAAATGAGGCGAAGTAGATCCACTAAAATTGACCTAATCCCACAGGCACCATTTAGGCCAGTTCTTGGCGAATGAATGATGAGCCACCGTCTAGTGTAAGCTCAAGGCATCATCCAGCTGTGTTATTGCAAGCAGCAAAAATAAATGGATCGAGCTTTTCTTTCGGGATGAATTTGATACTCTTGACAAAATACAGATTATAGGCTTCTACGTAACAATCTCTTCCACTCGATGATTTTTTTTCCTAGGAAGGTAAACAATTCGGGTCATAAGAAAGTGTTCACCGTTAAGAGAGAGAGAGGAAAAAAAAGACCTGGTGGCTCTAGCTTGGTTTGCTAACAGTCTCGTTCCCAGCAGCGTGCGCTGAGCAGCGCCCATCCTGCTCAGGACCAGCGTGCTGACTCATCGCTTCTTCATACAACTTCTCAATGGAAAAATCATTGCGCTTTCCACATTTTAGAAGTGTTAAAGCTTGCAGAAAGCATCTCTCTCGGTTTCGTGGGCTAACTACTCTGGCAAGATCGTGTGAAACGTTTTATTTCCCTCCGTGCCCTTCCTCAGCAATAGGCAAGCTAGTTCCCGTTAAGAGACTACCCCCTAAGCCAGACAAAAATTCATGACCAACGCTGCAAAGCTCGGCTGCTTTGGCACTGTCCTTCCCCTCACCATTTGATTGATCCGAGCCCTGATGCCAGCAGCCAATGGAGGAATTGGGTGGATAAATCGTCCCTACCCAGTGGCGGTACTGTTGCAAGAAGCGCCTCTGTCCCAAGGAAAGGAGGAAGAGATTCCTCGATCGTTTCTAATTTGATCTAGGCAAAGAGAGAGGAAGGCGGAGGAAAACGAGGCTCCAAGCGGCCCGGCCAGCTCCTTGGCCCTGGCTGATCTCCGGGTTAGCTGTCCCTCGACGAGCATCTGCAGCGCAGAGCCAGCGCCGACCCCTTCCTTTGTCTGGCAATAG